GCCAGCGTTTCTAAGTTTACCACAGTTCTGCTCACAGTCACTCTCCAAGGCCCGTATCATCTGATTTGCTAAAACTCAGCCCCAAATGTTCAACAGAAAGGAAAATCATTGATGGGAGTAAATCCCTTCAACTCCTACAGTCCCACCTCCTCCACAGGATCCACCAGCCTCCCACCTGCCTCTGGAAAGATAGTATCTGTCCTCTGGAGATGAAGCACCCTGCATCCTCAGCCCACCCACCTCAGTCCTACTTCTCCTCTGCCCTGATGAGTCTTCCTCCTGCAGCAAGTTTTTCCCGTGTGTATACACACATATCCCACATTCTTCTTGTACATTCCTCAGAAAGAATGCTTCAGGTTTGTGTTTTCTCTTCTGCCACAGGGGCTGATTTAATGGCTGCTGGCATTCTCAGTGATAAGTCTCAAGACAAGGGGCTGAGCAAGGCCTTAACACTCAAAGAAATGAGAATTCCTGTTTTCAACCCTGGCTTCAGAACCTCAGCTTGTTCAGAATGCTGGGAAGATCTGGGTGGGCCACGTGCTTCAGGAAGACTCTGAAGTCATTTCCCGTCTTCCGTTCTACCTGCATCGCCTTGCGGCTGCAGCTCATACTTCAGTCAGTCCGGGGAGTCTCTAAGGACACTCCCTGAGAAGTCACACAGTTTGGCCTCTACTTTTTCCATTGCTAACTTGAGTTTCAGTTTCCATAAGATCAGTTACTGCTCCCATGCCCATAGCTGGTTTCCTTGTTACTTGTTCTACAGATGAAGTGAGGGCCTAGTAGGTCGACCCTGTGGGTTTCTACCTGACCTCCCAACAGAAATAAATATGTCCTCTCTCACATGTGTGATCACACACAGAGTACAAGGCACTAGTCCTTGATATTCTTAAGGCTCTCCAATCTTCTTAAAGTCATTTAGACCAGTGTTGTCAACACATCCCTTCAGATTAGAGGCTCAGAGCTTCTGTGTGTTTCTACCTTATTACGATGTTGCTATTGTCCAGGGGTCCAAGTACTTCAGAGACCCCCCAAACTTATACTGGAATATTTACTAGTGCTGTTTATCTCTTGAATAATTGTATAAATAATGTATTTGGTGTTATTGCAAAGTTCTAAGCCAGCTGGAGGGCAGACTGGATCGTGCTGCTCCAGTGGGCAGCATGCTGGCCAGAAAAAAAGAGGACTGTGTTAGGACTTCTTGGCAGAGCATACATTAGGGCATGTCAGTAACAAGATAGCTTATAGGTTAGAGCAGCTGGAGCAGAGGGTGGGGATACACCAGCAGTCTTCTAGTCCATCCTCCATGGGGAAATGCATTAGCCACAGCACAGTACTGGGACATTTTCCTGTGACAGATAGCTCTCAAACCTTAGAAGATCATATTGGGTCCTGTCCTGTAAAGAAGTTTTACAACAGAGGAAATGGAATATAGGAAACAAATGAATAGGAAACTAAGAAGCAGTCTAAGCCAGAGACAAGGCAGAGATTAAGCGAATACCACGGTGGCAGCCAGGAGCAATGAGTGCTTTAAAAAGGATCTGTAAACTGGTGGTGATGGCTCATGCTTTTAATCCCGGCACATAGGAGGCAGTAGCAGACAGATCTCATGAGTTCAAGGATAGCCTAGTCTACAAAGATTCCAGGACAGCCAGAGCTGTTAACAGGGGAAAAAAAAATCTGTTCTCAAAAGCCCAACAAGCAAACAAGCAAAAAAGGATCTTCAAACTCAGAAGCAGGAAAAAAAATAAGGGCAGAAATTTGGCTTAGAAATTCAAAGATTTCTTGTGATTTAAGAGTTGTGTAGAAGGGGCTGGAAAGATGGTTTAGCAGTTGAGAGCACTGGCTGCTGTTCCAGAGAACCCGGGCTCAATTCACAGCACCTACAGGGCAGGCAGCTCACAACTGTCTGTAATTCAGCTCCAAGTGATCTGACACCTCACACAGACACAATACTGTCAAAACACCAATGCACATAAAGTAAAAAATAAATCGTTTAAAAAAAGTTATGTAAGGAAGGAAGAGGTGTGTGTAAGAAGCCAGTGAAAAGTGCGAGGTAGAGGAGCGGAGGGAAGGAGGGAGCGGAAGGGAGAGGTGTGGTACTGAGCAGCAAACAGAACAACGAGGCAGTCCTGCTACACGGCGTCCATACTGCAGGTCCTGCTTGACCATCGATGTGCTTTTCAGTCTGTACTTTAAACTAGTTAGAGTCTCTGTAAAGTTATGTACTAGTTGAAAGTCGTATAATGGTGCATGACAACTCTGCAAAACAGTCGTCTCCTGGCCTCGTCACAGCTCCGTACAGCTGCAGTCCCAGACATCACCAAACTTTGCTGGGGTCCCTTTGGCGACCACACCCTGCCTAGCTTACCCAGCTGCTTCCTAACATTGCCGGATTGGTGACGAGAGCTACCATCCCAGTAAATGGAGACCCGGCTTTCAAGTCTTCCCGGTTCCTGCCTCCACCCCAACAGTCTAGTCCACATAACCTTGGAGCTAACAGTAGTACAGCTCACTGATTAGGCCTGTGAGTTCCTGAATAGGACCTATTATTCCCAGCTGAGGCACAGTGATATGCTGCTGTTAATGGGGTTCCTGGAGGTTCCTGAACAGGATACACAATTCACAGCTATTTCCTGTGTTCCATTATTCCATTTCTCTTTCCCTGCAGTTAGAAATTACCTTTTATTGATAGTTTTTATACATATTTATCAATACTTGACCACTAATTCTCTCCTTAAAGTATATAAAATCTTTTTAACCTATTCAAATTAAGTCTGCCAACTTTATCCCCAAGGAACTTTCTCTTAAAACCTAACCAGCTGTCTCAGGGTTTCTACCGCTGTGAAGAGACACCACGACCACAGCAACTCCTATAGGGTAAACATTTGATTGGGATGTTCACAGGTTCAGAGGTTCCGTCCATTACATCATGGTGGGGAGCATGGTGGCGTGCAGGCGACAGGGTGCCAGCTGCATCTTGATCAGAAGTAGACTATGACACTGAGCAAAGCCTAAGCAAAAGAGACCCCAAAGCCCGCCCCACAGGGACACGCTTCCTTCAACACGGCCACACCTCCCACTAGTGCCACTCCCGATGAGCTTTTGGGGGCAGTTACAGTAAAACTAACACACCAACTTCTATTTGAACTTTGGAGCCGGGATGCAGGACATGAATGCACTGCTCCGCTGTATCCTGTACTGTATCCACTCTGGTATCCTGTACTGTTATTCAAAACTCATGTCATCCCAATGGTTTGAAAATAAGTGCAGGAAGTTTTCTACTTTATAGAAGAAAAAAAAAAGGATAAAAAAAGAGAGGAAAAAATGATTTTTCTCTTATGTTTTATTTAAAAGATTATAAACAAAGCAGAAAAAATAATCAAAGATTGATAGAATTAACTTTCTCAGAACCTAAGGACCTAAGACTACACCTGGGCAGTGCATTTCAAGTAAGATGCTTCATGAACATGAGCTCCTATTGCATCCCCTAAAGAGACTAACGTGGCCAAAGGGGGAAGAGGGAGAATGGAAAGTTGGTTTCACTCTAAAGGCAGTTATGGCCAGTTGAGAATAAAGGGGAGATAATCACATGACCATGTCAACAGACACAGAAACGCATATAGAAAGCCATTCCTGATAAAAAATAGAGCAGAGTCCTCAAACCAACAATGGGTATCTACAAAAGAAGTCTGCAGCGTACTTCATAGCTGATGCTGAGTCCTTCCCCGATACCTGAGACAAGACATGCCACCACCCCACCTTCACCTTCACTATCCCAGAAACTGCAGCCAGTTACTACGGCAACAGGAAGAAAGAAGCAAGACAGATGGTTAAAGATAACCCATTTGGAGGAAATGAGAGAAAATATATTGCACAGGGTAATCGGAACTCTGGGTTCAGAGATGCTGCTACTGACTCCATCCCCACAAGCAGCTGGGTGAAGGTATGTACCATCTGCCCTGACCCAGTGTCACAAGGGGCCCCACAGAAAAGAATGGCTTCATGGTCACATCACAAGGTGTACTAGGCACTTAGACTCTACAATGAAGGAGTTTGCCTAGCTTCATTAACTAGCTATTGGAAAATTAAGCTAAGGAACATTTTCCCCAATATCAGTTAACACCTCACAGAACATTCATCTAGAAAGCACATTACCTATTATATGTAAATAGTGATTAATACTATATAAAATAGTATTCTTCATTTTATAGCCTAAATAGGCTTTTAAATGCCACTATCTTTGGAAAAACTAAAGATGAATATACACAGAAAGGATTACCACACCGCTGAGTGTTTCATATGTGCTCATATGAAAGGCTGTGACCACCAGCTATAATTCATAACAACCGAGCCATGTGGGAGAGAGGAATGAACACCCAAGGTTTCCTAAGGTCAGGTATAAAGCATGGCATAAAATGTTACATGTTAAAATTTAAGAATGTTTATTTTCTTCTATCAACTTTTATGTTTGATTTTCAAGAAAAATAATGCTTATGAATTTTATGATCCAACAAATATATAGGCAAGCTATATTAGACTTTTCAGAAGGTATATTATAATAAACATTTTAATTTTGTATTATATTCATATTTATTTTACTGGGGAAAGGGGTGTGCCGGGCATGGTGTCCGTGGGGAGGTCAGACAAAAACTCACAGGAGTCAGTCCCCTCCTATTACCACACAGGACCTGGGGATCCAACTCAGGTCACCACGTTTGGCAGCAAGCACCTTTATTGACTGAGCCATGTCACAGATTTTAAAAAAAAATGTAATGAAACTATACCAACTTTCCCACTGGGGTATGATATAGATTATTCATTTTATGGGCAGTTTGTTTGTGGCAAAGTCTTGCTCGGTGGCCTCAGCCTAATACAAACTATGTAGCTGGCCTAGAGCAGTCCTCCTACTTCAGCATCCTGAGTGCGGAGACTCCAGGAGTGAGCCACCACCCACACACTTCACAGGTTTTAAGCACATATATTAAACACGCACACTTTACCTGAAAGCTCCGTACAGCGGTCTGTACCAACAGACAAATGAACAGGGGGTAAAAAGCAAGAACCACAGGATACTCAGTCCAAAGTCAACTGCTCGTGAAGAATCCACACAGAACCAAGCCAGGCACCCGAAGATGTTTAGGAACAGAGTCACCGCATGGACTGTGGGATCAGAAGACAGAACAACAAGAGTTACAGCTGAAAACACTTCCTAAGGGCATGCATTCTTCCCATCTTCCCATGGCAAGCTCTTCAAACATGGATGCCTCTTACACAGGATTTGAAAGCACAGTGCACACAGTAGTGCATTTTCAGGCAAAAATCCTGTGGGCTATCCCCTCCTCCTAGGTAGCTGCACGTCTAAGCCCAACCCATAGGTTTGCTTTCCTGAAAAGAAAATAGGCTGAGAATTTCTTGACCCAGGGCCCAAGAAGAGAAGCAATGTTTGTTAAAGACAAAAGCAAACAAACAAAACCCCATAGGTGGGGTCCTCAGAACACTATTCGTAAGGGGGGGACTACAGACAAGAACTGGATTACAATTAATAAACAGAAGCAAGTCTATGAGGATGACTTCATCTTCAGGAGTGAGCTGCTTTTTTTAACGGGGAAATAGCTTGATTCAGGTTATTCCCTCCACTCCACAGAGGCCACACGATGGTTGTGCCAGGGGCAGGATGTCCCCATGCTGCCAGCATGCTGCTCTCCCTAACCTGAGTAACACCAAGAAACACTGTAATCCTAAAGAACCACGCTTACCAGTTATAGCTTTTGTTTACATATTTTTATTTTATGTGTTTGGATGTCTGCCTGCAAGTATATGCATGCACCATGTGCGTGCAGGGCCTGTAGAGGCCAGAAGAGGGTGCTGCACTGAGGACAGAGATGCTGTGAGCCCCACGTGGGTGCTGAGAACCAGTCCAGGGTACTCTGCAAGAGCAACAAGGCTCCTAATCCTAATCCATCTCTCCAGACCCCTACAGTTCCAACTTTTTAAAGTGATTTTGTAAAACTGTATTCATGGGTAGAATTTTATTATGAGAAAAATTCCCATAAAATTAAAATACTATAAAATGTATATTATCAATAAAAATGTCAACCAACTATGACTTAGATTTAAAAAATTAAAAGATTATTAAATCTACTACAAACTCAATATGCATCAAAAACTAATTTTAAAATCCCTTTACAAATCAAAATCAAAAATTTATAAAACAGGATAAAACTACTCCTTCTGGGTGCCCTGATGTATTCTCATCTAAACATTAGATAAATCAACTATAGAGAAACAGCTCCAGAGACTGAAAGCAAATCTGCTGTAGCATCTAAGGGCTTTTACTTTAAAACCCATTCTTCTTTATCACAAAAAAAAAAAAAAAAAAAAAAAAAACTGTACCAATTGCTCAATTACTACCAGGAGTTTTAACCCTTGGGAAAGCTGGCTTACTAATGAAATGACTCAAAATCCTTTTTTCTCAAAATAAAGACTTTTCTTCAAAATAAAGGCTTAAAAGTGGAACTAAAATTCCTGTGAAATGGGAAATTATTTTGTAGTTCTAAAGGACTCTGGCTGTCTTAAGTTTGGTTGTGTGTGTGTGTGTGTGTGTGTGTGTGTGTGTGTTCTAATGTTAGCATGTTCTAACTTAAATTTCCATCTTCAAAAGAATAGTTTTTTAAAGTTTATTTTCTATTTCACTTGCAGAAAATGAGGAGCATGTATAGATCTATATTAATGTTTTAAAATCAAGTACAGAAAGTACCAACCTAACTTTTTGTAATATGTTACTTTTCTCCTAGATGTTTTTAAAGTAACCATGGTCAGTGAATCTTGCACTCAATAAAAGCCAGCCTGTCTTGGGTAGCTGGTGATGAAGCTGTGTACCTGAGCAGGGCACAGAAAGCGGACAAAGGCTATGGACCTCGCCATCTGTGTGTTAATTTCAATGTGTCTATGCTGGTGGATGGTGAATACAGACCAAACGCTGGACAGACCTTTAAGCCATCTTGTTCACATGATTTGCAAGGTTAAGTTACAGTTTTTTTTACGTGAAAGCTTTATTTGCTTTATGAGGCACAAATCTATGTCTGCTGGTCTGAATTTGCAACTGCTGGCGCCATGTAACTCTTGATAAATACGGATTACAAAGAGATGGCTACAGGTGCGCGCGCATCTCCTCTGCTGCCTGGTGGCTAGTGTCCATGCTTTAGTTTTTGTAAATTCAAAAGCACATTCAAAAAGGTCAGGGTTTACTCCACAGTGAAAGTTCTAATTGCTTTTGGTCATTATCTGCTTCCATATGGAACCTTTGAAAACCCATCTTCAATGTATTCATTAAAATGGAAATCACTTCTTCATCTTGGCTTTCTGTAGCTGGCATACCATGAGTCTAACCCTGGCCTCGAGAGACCAGCTTACCCAGATAGTTTGGTACATAGTGACTTTGCTATATAATGTTGGACAATGCTGGGCAAAGCTTTAGCTTCTCTAAGACTAACTAAACAATGTGGTAATTGGTGGAGGATGCAGTAGGGCTGGCTCTTCACTGCCTAACAACAAGTCAGTCTCCCACAAGTGCTAGCTCTCACTATGACTGAGTATCAACCTTTCTATCAGCCCTCAGATCCACACCAGGCCAATACTCCCGGAAGTACCCACTAAAGCAGTCTCTACTTAATGTGGGCAAATTCCTCACTGCTCACACTTCATTTCAAGCAGTGCTTCTTTGAAACAGAACCCTAAGTAGAATCTTTAGTCCCTTTTTTAAAAAGACTGGCAAAATAAATAAGACTGGGAAAAGCTGTAACTAACTGTATTACTGCTGAGAGACTCTGCAAGTTATGCATTTTTAAAACCAAACAAATTGATTTTGAAGCCATCGTTAGTACTTAACAATTAAAGTTAAACTAAAAATTCTTCCTACCCAGCCTCTATTTACTAAATTTATCATTGAATTTTCCAACTACCTCTACCATAAAAATATCTGTGAAAGTTAAATAAATTATGCCTAAAATATTATGCCATTTTTAAAATTCATATACAAAAAATGCATATATGACACAGAGAAATATACTAATTAAATAAGGCATAGAAACTGGTTAACATGTACATATATAGAATTATACCTTACATATCAAACATATATAATACTATAGGCAGCAAGGCCAAATCTCAACAAGAAACTAAGAGTCTAAAAATAATAGCCAGCTGGGTGGGGTGATGTACACCTTTAATCCCAGCACTAGGGAGGCAGACACAGGTAGATCTCTGAGTTCCGGGCCAGTGTGGTCTATGTAGTGAATTCCTGGACAGCCATGGCTACATAAAGAGAGCCTGCCTCAAAAAAAAAAATTTAAAGTAATATTCACTATAATTTTTTGGAAGGCAGCTATGCTCACCACTATACCACCAACACAGGTCCACTGTAATTTTTAGACTGAGAGCAAATGTTCTTTTTTAAAACTGTGACATAAGTAGTGCCCAGAACGAACTGCTTCTCATGCGGAGACATGAAGAATGCTCCTAAGAGTCTAAAGAAAATGATCACATCCACTCGAGAAGGCGGGCCCTAAAGCCTCACTAAACACACAGTGAAGCTCACACGCTTTCACTGCCTACAAACGACCTGCTGCCCCATCTGAACAGCCTCTCTCCTGACAATGGCGTCAACAGGGCAGATCAGAGAGTAAGGGAAGAGAGAAGTCTGTGTGTACACAGTGGGCCTTAGCAGCTCGCCATTCCTTTCCTATTTCAAAGCATGTGCATCCCAGCTGAAAATGCTCTGTTTAATGAAACTGCCCTGCAGTACGCAATCTCAAGAATAAAAGTACTCATAGCCACTTGACCATGAGAAGTGCACCGTGCCCAAAGAGATTTTTAAAGTTACAGTTCACATTACAGCATCTCCATCTCTTTCTAAAACCAGCCACAGCGCTACATTTAACAGAATCTAAATGACACTCCTTTGCATAAAAATAGTATGCTTAATTTTGCCACAGCAAGTCTCGCCTAGATAACATTCTTCTAGGAAAAAGGTCTTCACAAAAGCCTTCCCACGACAGACAAGACACCGTTCATCAGCCAGGGCTGGTGCTCCATGTGTAGGCTTCCCTCGTCCAGACTTGGACTGCTACCTGTTACACAATTGTTGTATCGAAATATGATGTTCAGTTCTGAAATTATGACTATTAATATCTGTATGAAAAGACATTTAACATGCATTTTAAATATATCACGTTCAAAAAGGTGTCTACTGATGAAAATATGAACTCAAAAGGCATCTGTACATAAATATGATTGGTTCTATACTCACACATCCATAAGTAGTACATAAGCTTTACTGTCTTCTGGAATTCTACAGGAATGTCTACAGAAAAGTCTTGATAGAAACAAGGTCCCACAGGAAAATTGCTAGGAAGAGGTGGCCAATTATTTTTTCTCCCTGTAAGTTAAAAAAAAAAGTTACTGCAACAAATACATTGTGTTCTTACTTTTCTGTCAAAGTACAGCGCACTGTTCCGGTAGACGAGGTACAAAACAGGACCACCGCTCCTCTCTACACTCTACAGCCTTGAAAGCCAAGCTGATGCTTTTTTTTTTCAGACTAATATTTTAGAAACAACAAATGCTAATAAAATTTTCCAGTATCATATACCACGTTTAACACATCTATGTATAGGAGAACCCAGGGACAAACCCTGAGAGTTTCCTAAATCAGGTTTAGTTCAAAGGCCCAGGGCCTGGCTACTGCGAGGAAGGCCATCCAATTCTTAAACTTCCATTTTCTCCTCAGTACACGAGTCCTTCAGCAGAATTCTGCTAAATTCCTAACTGATGTGCAGAGAGAAACAAGGTTCTCAACAACACAGACCAAAGAATCAAGTCTGGAGTGAATGACTGGGGGATTCCAGCATCCTGAAAACCAGAGCAAATCAGGTGCGGTGTGAGGAAGGACTGTGTGTCTGCATAAACAAAAGATGGACAGCAAGACTTGGGGAATGAAGTCAGCAACAAAAATTAAACATAAAGCACAAATTCAGACAAAAATACAAATAAAAATAACAACTAAAGTCACTTTCTGATATTAAATATATAACTTTTAACATTCAATTATACATATTTTTACCTATCTGGACATTTCTCATAAAGAGAAGTATAACCCGCTGTTTATCCTCAGCATGTGCCCTCGGTCACACTAATTGTAGTATTAGAACTGGGGACTGGGATGTAACTCAGTGGCAGAGCACTTGCCCTGCCTAAGGAACACACAAGACACATGACACTACGTAAGAGTCGCCAACAGCAAGCAGCGAGGAACGGAGGCTCTGGAACAGAAGTACCCAAGCCACTAGCTGACTGTGGTCTTAAGAAACTTCACCTTCGTTTCTTCAGAAAGTTAACTCCTGGGTCACACTTCCCAGGATGGTGCTGAGGATTTAATATGGATTAAAAGGCAAAAAAAGTACTTCAATATATTAATATACTGTAAAATTCAATAATTAAAGTCCATCTCTTTGTTACTATCTTTATCAAAATATCTTTCATCTGTCATAGAAGTGATTAGTGTTAGTCAGCATTAAGAAAATAAGACACATTATCATTAACGAGATCTCTCTCCTAGAGACACAATCTCTGATGTTGCAATCAAGGAAATGACCCAGGATAAACATGTCCTCGAGAGACCTGAGACCTAAACACTGTAAGACAAGGAAGAAATATTCAGTATTACAGCCACCTAGCAACTCCTCCCTTAACTCCCCTCCTCCTTCCTGAGGCTGCTAACTTTCCCTCATGGGTTCTTAGAGTCATCTTCAGTACTCAGAGCCTGAAGAGATCCCACAGCATGTAATTAATCATACAAACGCTTTCTTCACATTTCGACAAGTGTAATGTATCTGTGAGGAAAAGACCAATAATCCCAACAGGTCGGACTCCGAAGAGGGGTGCACTCAAAGTTCAGTGGAACTACTGAGAAGCCACACCTCCGCTCTCAGGTGCCTTCCTTTCTTCTGAGGGCCTTTCTCTTAGCCTGCATTAAGATCTTTCGTTTCTACCCCAGCTCTTTTCCAAAGAAGGAAAGAAAGGATTTAAGAGAGCCAAGGGCAGAATCAAAGGCTCCTGGCTTGGAATAAAATGAATGGATCCGATCTGTGTCTCACTTTCTGTGAGGACGCCAACATTCGTCTAGTCTATCAAAGGACCGTGCTATCATCAGGCAAGATCAGCGAGCTGCGGGTATCAAGGGAGCAATCTGCTGTGTCTGACCTCTTTGCTAGAATCAGAAAACAGGGCCGAGGTTTATCACCAGACCTAGTGACTCAAAGCAAGGACAGACATTTTCATCCCAACCCTTTGGATACTACCATGCTGACTCAGGCTCTGCATCTCCCGTTCTCGGCGGTCTAACTCCGCGGCCTTTCTCTCTAGCTCTTCTTGGCGCTTGAGGAGTTCAGCTTGAGCCAAGGCATGTTCCTGAACAAAATTACCAACACACATACATTACCAGACAGTTCAAATAGTCTAACATTCACATGCCCACTCTTATCTTAACCATGAGAGAAACCTCAGTTAAATGCACTTTCGAAATATAGGAATTCACTGAAGGCTATAGTTTTGGAAAATACTGTAGAGATATTTGATTCATTTTGCCTTTAGTTATGGAAGCCCTCAGAAGCAATATTAAGTCCACAGGATAGTAGAAAACAAACAATCCACCTCTCATTAAGAATAGCCAGAGAGCTTTTTAAAAACCCATTCTCTTTGGATGGATACCTTGCTCAGCCTAGATACAGTAGAAAGGGCCTTGGACCTTCCCTAAAGCAGTGTGCCTTACCCTCTATTAGGAGTAGATTGGGGGATGGGGTGAGTGGATAGGTGGAGGGAAGGGAGTGGGAACTGGGATTGGTATGTAAAATTAAAAAAAATTGATTTCTTCTTTTAAAAAAGATTAAAAATTAAAAATATTTTGCTTGTTCAAAAAAAAAAAAAAGATAGCCAGAGAGCTGGGCAGTGGTGGCATTTGCCTTTAATTCTAGCACTCAGGAGGCAGAAGCGGCAGATCTATGAGTTCAAAGCCAGTCTAGTCTACACAGAGAGAGAAACCCTGTCTCAAAAAAGCAAAAAATGAAAAGAAAAAAAGTCAGAGACTGGAGATAGAGAGACGGCTCATCAATTAAGAGCAAGCACATGTATGCGGTTCTTGCAGTTCCCAGCACCCACATCAAGTGGCTCATAACTAGCCTGTGACTCCAGCCTCCACCGGATGTGCACACATCCACACACAGCCACCTAAGTACATGTCAGTGAGAACAATAAAAATAAATCTTCTAAAAACAGAGCAGCAAGACTCTAGGTGACCCTGTGCCCAGGTGGGAGGAAGTGAGGTGAGGTACAGCGGGGGAGAGACGATTGGCATTCAGGACGACTCAGCTACCTCGGAAAGCAGAGTCAAATGACAAGTAGGCTCCACAAGAACAAGAATAGTTCAAACATCTCTGAAATGTCCTAAGATGCTGAGGGGTTGGGGATGAACTCTACCTCTGTGTTAGAGCAGCCATGCATTTTTTTTAATAAATTTAAGATTTCTGTCTCCTCCCAGCCACCGCCTCCCATTTCCCTCCCCCTCCCCCAATTAAGTCCCCCTCTCTCATTAGCCCAAAGAGCAGTCAGGGTTCCCTGCCCTGTGGGAAGTCCAAGGACCACCCACCTCCATCCAGGTCTAGTAAGGTGAGCATCCAAACAGCCTAGGCTCCCACAAAGCCAGTACGTGCAGTAGAATCAAAACCCAGTGCCATTGTTCTTGAGTTCTCAGTAGTCCTCATTGTCCGCTATGTTCAGTGAGTCCGGTTTTATCCCAGGCTTTTTCAGACCCAGGCCAGCTGGCCTTGGTGAGTTCCCGATAGAACATCCCCATTGTCTCAGTGTGTGGGTGCACCCCTCGGGTCCTGAGTTCCTTGCTCGTGCTCTCTCTCCATCTGCTCCTGATTTGGACCTTGGGGTTTCAGTCCGGTGCTCCAATGTCAGCCATGCATCTCATATGCTGGCTTTCCTGGACACTTGCCATCTCCCACGTCCTCTGCTGCCCACTGAGTCGTGGCTAGCTCTCTCCCAGTCATGCTTATTATTCTGTCATTGTTACTGTAGTGGTATTATTCATTGAAATCAAAGGCAATAAACATTTCACTATATGAACTATACAATAAGATGATAGATGATCTTCTAGTATTAATCTACACAGTTAACATGCACTAACCTTTGTGATCTGTGTGTAAGCTGGGTGTTCCTCTGTTGGTTTCATTATTGCTGGCTGGGTGTTGGGTACATTAGGCATTTTCACGCTGCCTGGTGGAGGCTAAAAAGGTAAAAGACAAATTATGTAACACAGAGACCCAACCTTAAGTTATTTCAAAAGAATCATAGAAAGCAAAGTCCCAAGGCCTGCCTGTCTCCATGCCTTCTCACGGTCATGCTTAAAACGCCTCAGCTCCGCACTGCCACTTTCTAACCCACTTACCAGTTTTGCAGTGCTCAGTGCACCAGGGAAGAACAGAGCATAATTGGTTCCTTACAGTAACGACACCGTCAGACTAAAGAACTGCATAAAATAGCAGGACATAGGGCCATCTGCTTGTACCTGGGAGGCTAAGGCAGGAGCCCAAAAGCTCAGGAGCCTGAGAACATGAGATAAAAGAAAGGAAGAGAGAGCCACAAGGGGGGGGGGCAGAGGGGAAGGGGAGATATGGAAGTTTACAATCAGCTCTTCCCTCTGAAGACAGACACATGTCAAAGGCCTGAAAATGTTAAACTAGAAACCTGCCACAAAACATCACTAACAACCCCACTTTGCCAGGAACACCAGCCATACATGAACGCGGCTGGAGCACCTAGAGGAGATAGACAGTTGTAAGTCTGTCTATGAGGACTTAATAAACTATTACATACATACCTGGTGTGAACTTCAAAGAAAATGAGTCAACATTGTAGAAGAAAATGTTAAATGCTAAATTGAGATTTTCAAGATGAACACAGATTTATATAGCAAACTGTTACCAAAGGAATTTTATATACTTCTCTATTATTTGCCTCCCCAACAGATACATCATATAGCACTTTTTGTTGTTGTTGTTAATGTTTTGTTTTTGAGGCAGGTCTCCTATGTAACCCTAGCTGGCTGGAACTGGCTTTAAACTCAGAGATCTGCCTGCCTCTGCCTCAAGGTCATGTACCACCATAAAGGTATGCTCCACCATATCCTGCAGTAATACTTTAACAGTTAAAAAGGAATTGGGACCAAGTGTTATATCACATGCCTGTATTCTCAGCCCTCGGGGGCAGAAGAATTACTGCAAATTCAAAGATGGTCTGATCTACAGAGTGAGGTCCAAGCTAGAGTCCCCTAGAGAGCAAGACATTCTCTTTAAAGAGAACAGAACAAAACAGTGTGTAAGATCCCAGTACTCAGAAGGATCACAAGGTTGAGGCTAACCTGGGCTAAATACATAACATGACATATAAGCAAACAAGAGAACAGAAGCACAAGACCAAGCAGCTTGGCAGCACTTGAGGAAAACACAAAATCACCCTGAAAATCAACCAGCTAAAACCTTTATCAGCACCCTGCTGCCTTAAATACCAAGCAGTCTGAGTATAAGAAGTTGATGGGGTGAGAGACAGAAGGCCAACATATCCAAGTCAGAGTCATGGAGACAAGCCCTGCTCACAAACACTAGTGTGTGCAAGCCATCTTCACATTCAGTTTCTTCCCATTTGCACATGTCCCAGTGTGTCTGCAACTACAGGACACATGGTCACTTCAAGTCAAGCACAGTTCTGGAGAAAGACCTTTGCCCAACTGCTATGACAACTGCTCCTGATTCTCCTATGTCTTCACCTCTGAGTAAGAGCAGTAAACAATAAACCACTCTTGCATGTGTGTGGGAGTATATACACACGTGTGAGTGCCCATGGAGGCCAGAGGAGGGTGTGTGTGTGTGTGTGAGTGTGTGTATATATATATATATGTGTGTGTGTGTGTGTGTGTGTGTGTGCCCATGGAGGCCAGAGGAGGGTGTGTGTGTGAGTGTATATATATATATATATACATATATATATATATATATATATATATATATACGTGTGAGTGTATATATACACACACGTGTGAGTGCCCATGGAGGCCAGAGGAGGGTGTGTGTGTGAGTGTATATATATATATATATATACACACACGTGTGAGTGCCCATAGAGGCCAGAGGAGGGTGTGTGTGAGAATATATATATACACACACGTGTGAGTGCCCATGGAGGCCAGAGAAAGGTGTGTGTGTGTGTCAGATCTCTCAAATGCAGTTACAGGAATTTGTGAGCTACCGATATAGGTGCTGGGATGCAAATTCTGGTTCTCATGACTGAGCAGCAAGTGGTCTTAACCACTGAGCCCCACTCCAGACCAAGACTGCCATTTCAGGCACAGGTAAGACCATACAGTCGTAGAGAAAGATAGCATGTAGTATCTAAAAGGCTACTTCAAGGTTCACTTAAATAACTATGTATTCAGTCAAACACATAACTAAGCTAAGATATCTAAAAAGGCTGAAAGATACTCAACATCCTTAGCCATCTGAGAAATGCAAATCAGAACAACTCTGATATTCCATCTTATACCTGTAAGAATGGCCAAGATCAAAAACACTGATGACAACTTATATAGGAGAGCATGTAGGGTAAAAAAAACACTCCTGCATTGCTGGTGGGAGTGCAAATTAGTACAGCCCCTTAGGATATCAGTATGGTGATTTCTCAAAAAATTAGGAAACAACCTTCCTCAAAACACAGTAATACCACTTTTGGGTATATACCCAAAGGATGCTCAATAGTACCACAAGGACATGTGCTCAACTATGTTCATAGCAGCACTGTTTGTCATAGCCAGAATCTGGAAAAAACCTTAATGCCCCTCAGCCAAAGCACAGATAAGGAAAATATGGTACATTTATACAACGGAGTACTATACAGCAGAAAAAAAAACAATGGCATCTTAAAATTTGCAGGCAAATGAATAGATCTAGAAAACATTGTACTGAGTGAGGTAACCCAGACCCAGAAAGACAAATATTGTATGTACTCACTCATATGTGGCTTTTAGACATAGAACAAAGAAAAACCAGACTACAATTCACAATCCCAGAGAACCTAGACAACAAAGAGGACCCTAAGAGAGACATATATAGATCTAATCTAATCTACATGGGACGTAGAAAAAGAAAAGATCTCCTGAATAAATTGGGAGCATGGGGACCATGGATGAGGACAGAAGGGGAGGGGGGAGGAGCGGAGGGAAGGAAAGAAAAATACATAGCTCATTAAAAACATTTTTTACAAAAAGTCAGCAAACACCGAAAACAAAAAAGACCTGAACACACTAAAATAATCAAATACAAACTAAAAAATATTTATTAAACATGAGGTTAGTAAAAGCTTAACAAGGGTAATGACGGTCAAAGCTTAGTAACAAATTGGTCTTCAAATGACTGTGACTCTGAAAAGCTTGAGTGGCTACATAAAGGGTAGGTGAAGTCCCGAGGGAAGGCGTGCCGATGATGGGTGCAGCTATGTTAGGGACCCCGGTGCCTCACCATGGGAAGGGCATAGCCTTCCCTGGATGAGACTAGGGATAGAAAGTCCTCCTCTGGTGTTAAGTGTTTCAGAAGACTGGCCAGTGTATGCAAGAAGTAGCAACTGCAGCTGTCTCCTCCCTCCATCCCCTCCTACACCCCCTACAGAGAGGAACTGTTCTGACTCAGTAAACTAGCTGAGGTTATAGCTGCTTCACAGTTGGTACTCAGCCCATTAACCTGAGCATGCCCACACGACCCCAGCCTTACTGTTCGTTTGTCTGGGTGTCTGTTCTTTCTTCATCCCCTTGTTCCAGGGAGGTCTCCAGGGCTGAGCTAGACCCGGCAAAACGATACAAGTGAAACTCTCTCCATACCTACTCAATATAGTTCTTGAGGTCCTAGCTAGAACAATAAGACACCAAAGGGAAATCAAGGGGATACAAATTGGAAAAGAAGAAGTCAAACTCTGTTTGCTGATGATATGATAGTTTACATAAGTAATTCTAAAAATTCTACCAAGGAACTTCTATAAGTGAAACCTCTAAAACTTCCTTCAGAGAAAAGTGTTAAGTATGATAGACAAGTTAACTACAGACAACATTAAGATGAAAGGGTAACTAAGGAAATGGAAATGGGTCTAAAGAAGACACAGAACACAGTGCAGAGAAACAAAACACAGAATACAGGAGTGCTTGTAGGCTTGATGATGGGGTTCAGGGGCCTGTCAACTAAGACCTAGGGGAGGAGATCAGAGAATAAAAGTCGGTGTCAAAGCAGGATGGAGAGACATGTACCTCACACTGAAAACTCTAAAACACAAACTAGGTCTTTAAGAAAATTAATAGACACATCACATCAAAATAACAAACTTAAAACTAAGAGATAGTAAAAGCATCCAGGGGTGAAGGAGACAATTCCTAAAGAAAAGAATGCCAGTAAGAACGTGAAATACTTCCTGACTGCAAACAGGGGAGCTCAGATACAGTGTGGCAATGAGATTCAGTGCTCATGTCGAGTTGTGAGTCAGCCAGGTTAGCATCTGAGAACTGTTTAGGTCAAGAGCATGCATCTCGGAACACTGAGTAAGTCAGTCAGACTGAGAAGCATGGCCTCTCTTTCTATCCCATCTCTCTGCTCCCTACAGCCAACATAGAAAAGTCATCTTCCTTCTGGTGTGTGAAGTCCTGCCTCACACGCAGAAGGGCCCAGAAAGAAGCAAAGCACACAGAACGACCAAGAAACATCTGAGCACATGGCTAGGCCCTCTAAGCAATGTCCCCCCACTGCTGCCCATTCTGCATCATATGTGAGCACAAAGGGTTCCTGGGTTTGGGGGTCGGAAACCTTCATATGGCATGAACTTTGATTATACACATTAGCTGTGCTTCACTCAGGAGTGCCAACCATGAGAACAAGCCCTGCATCCTACCACCTCCTACAGACATGATGTGGGATTCCCCTCTGCATGTTGTGAATACTGTTGGTTAATAAAGAAGCTGCTTTGGGCCTGTTGAGAGGACATGTAGGGATAAGTCCCGCCCCTTGGGGGGCGTGTTCACCTCGGGCTAATGTTTGCCTATAAATTTGGCGAGCGTGCTCCCAGCCGTCCCTTCTGCTTTCCTGGTCTCCACAGGAACGATGGTTCTGTAAGTCTATTTCGCCATTAAAGCTGTATATATATTTTTACAATCTGTCTGCATTCGTTTACGCTGTTACAGGGCAGACCATAGGTAGG